TTATATTATATTTTAAAAATATTAATTAGTATATTTTACATATCTTTACTAAAATATTATTTAAATATATAAATAATATTATCCATTATTAAATATATAAAAAATTTATTATATATTATTAAAATAAAAAATATAATATCTTATATTATTATAATATAATTGATTATATTATTAAACTAAAAATATAATATTATATTATTATAAATATTAATAAATATATTTTAATAATTAATATTTTGATGAAAATGATATTAAAATATTTTATTAATATTAAATTCATAAAATAAAATTATTTTGAGTATTTTTGCTTTGAAGTGAAAAGTTCGGAAAATGACTTACGGAAAATGAATCCGTAAGTCATTTTACAGAAAATACAAAGGAAATTATGTTACTAGGAAAATGAATTACGTTCCGGAAAACGAATTACGTGAAACAAACACGGGAAACCATTTTTCGGAAAACGAATTACGTGAAACAAACACGGGAAAACATTTTCCGGAAAACGAATTACATGAAACAAACACGGGATTTCGGAGAAAACTAATTCCATAATTGGTTTTACTGCAAACAACACACCCTAAAAGTAAAAAAGGAAAGAAAATCTAAGAAAATTATATGATAAAAAAATCAAATTAAATGAAAATATTGAATTAAATTTAATGAGAAAATAACATGTCCTAAAAATTTAATATTATTAAAGAAAATTTTATGAGAATCAAAAAGAAAAATTAAATATAAAATTAAAAAACTAATAAATTAAGAATGAAAGTATAAGATGAAAAATAAAGTAAATTTAAAAAAAAAATAAGAATGACACTTATAATTATGTCTTACCCACATAAAATATGTGGATTCCATAGGGATTCAAATTAGGTAATTGGATCATTTAATCAAATATAAAACTCAAAAAATTATAAAATTGAATCAAAATAAATAAATAATAATCTTTTTATTCAAGATCCACCACTGATTTTTATTGAGAAGCCTCAAGGAATGTTTGATCTATGAAGATCTAATTGAAAGTCTTTTCCTTATTCATTGGTTCTATCATTCGATGAGTTTTTTCAAATAAAATCAATGTCAAAGCAATAAACACAAAAGTAATAAAAAATATAAAAAAAGAAAATCATAGGCTTTCACTAAGAAACCTCAAGGAATGTTAGATTTAGGAAAATCTTCTTTGTTCATCGGCTTTCTCTCATCCGATAAAAATTTTTTAAGGAGAAAAGGACGAAGTCGATCGAAATAATAAAAAGAATAAAAATAAATTAAGTTAAAAAAAACTCCCTTTTATTGCTCTTGTTCTTCTAACTATAATAAGTGATTATTTTCTCTCTTCTTTCTTCTCTTTTTCCTCTCTTTAATTATAAAAATAAGAAGACCTATTTATAGGCTCCCAAAAAGCAAAAAAACCTAACATATTTTCATTAATGTTTGATATACTAATTAAAATAAAAGTAATTCTAAAACAATATAAAGATCCTAAATTACCCTAAATAAACTATGAAAAGTATAAAATTGAATTTAATTACAAATATTCAATAAAATAATTAAAATTTCGTAATAAATTAAAATTCCCGTATTGGGCATATATCTAATTTTCTGCACACGTTGTCTTCGCTAAAATAAACATATCTTGAATTCCCGATGTCCGATTGATGAGTTTTAAAATGCATTGGAATGCTAATTGAAAGATGGTTCAGTTTCAAGAGGATATTATGCCTTAAAAATGTCTAGACCGTACAAAAATCAAGTATTACATCTTAATAATATGGTAAACTACATTAATTGTTATTGAACTTAGGATGCTTTCACTTTAGTTATTGAAATTGTTTTTTTATTAGAGTTATTATTGTTAAGAAAAACTTTCGTTTAGGTCATTGTGATTGTTAAACCATTAACGACAGGTAACTTGACACATTAAAAATTTTAAATTTTTTGACAACCACTCTTTCTTTCTTTCTTTCTTTCTTCATTTTCAGTGATTTCTCTAATGGAAAATTTAACTTTGCTCGTCTTTTTCTTTTCTTTGATTTAAACTCATCTAAAAATATTATAATCTCCTCAAATATCAATTAAAACTAAGCTAAACCATTTCTATCTATCATTGTCAACTATTATATTAGCTTGAAATTAAATTACGATAATCTTTTGACCATATGATAACTTCTCGTTATTGAGATCGACCAACAATTGGTTTATTCAACAGAACTCGACCTTTACAATGACTTTCAATTTAGAACCCTAATTTATTTTTGGGAAATGAGACTTTAATATAACCATCAACTTTTCTTAAAAACAATTAACAATAATAGTCATAATAAAATTTAATTAAAAATTTAATAAATATAATACAAATTTTAAGAATTCAATATCTTAAGTGAAAGCATCTTAAAAATTTAATAATCATCAACATAGTTTACATTAAATAAGATTCATATATATAATTTAGGATAATATACGTATTTTAACTTTTGTTATTTACAATCCAAATCCATGATCAGATACTCAATATCTGAATTTGGATGTTTACCGAATCTTTTATAATAATTTGAGTGATCATATGGTATTATATATTTAGAATTTTCTAACTTATTAACAATATATTTAGAATTTTCTAACTTATTAACAATATATATATACACTCTACAGACGTAACTACTCAAACTCAGATTCTCTAAAAAAAAAAATCTTCTGACTATGATTTATTATTATAAATAATATAATTCAACTGACTAACTTTATATATTAATCATAATAAAAATTAATTTTAAATTAGTTAAATTCATTCGTTATGGATCAAAACAAATCACTCTAACTTAATAAGTGCCGAATACAATAGTAAAATAGTTTCTCTTCCAAATGAAGTGGTTTCTCAAGAATGGACATTTACTCTTAAATAACTTAGTATTTCAAATAATTTAAGTGACTAAAAAGATTATCATTAATTTTAGAAATTTTAGATACAAACGCTATGGTTATGGAGTGATTGGATATTTATTGTCTTCTAACATATTTTATTTTTATAACCAACTTAAATTAATGTAAAAAAAAACTTAGCATTTTAATAGACTGTTTTTGTTAAAAGACAAAAGCCCAGGAAGAATTAAAAACAGCTACTAAACTACAAAGAGAAACATGAATACCATTACCAAGCAAACCACATACATATACATATACATATACATATACATGTATACATCTCACCCTGAAACCCTTGGTTTGATCGATGCTTTCAAGGTGTTCTTCAAGACTACGGTAAACTCCAATTTCCCACTAAAATCCATCTTCCCGTTAACCGGATAAGCACTCCATTCAAATTCTTGAACCATTTTGGCCAGCATCAAGTGAACATGCACCGTCGCCATCCCCAAACCAGGGCAAATCCTTCTCCCCACACCGAACGGCATCATTTTCACCCCTCTCCCCCCCGTTATATCAGCCTCCTCTTTCCCTAAATAGAATCTATCCGGGTCGAAAATTTCCGGGTCGCTCCACATCATCGGGTCGTCGCTAATCCCCGGCAAGAATATCTCGAGGTTCGCATCCGTTGGTATGTCGTATCCCCCTAACGTTGCCGCTTCTTCAACAGCTGCGTGAGTGAGTGAAAAGTACGTCGGTGGGTGTTTCCGTAACAGTTCTTTGACTACCGCTTGTAAGTAGGTGAGTCTTTCGATATCGGCTTCGTCTACTTTTTGATCCCCGACCTTGGATTGAATTTCGTCGAACAGTTTGGATTGGATATCTGGGTTTTCGATCAGCTGTGCGATTCCCCATTCGATCGCGGTTGCAGTGGTATCGGTTCCGCCATTAAGAAACTCGGAGCAAAGCGTGACAAGCTCTGAATTGGAGGGTGCTGATTTTCTTCCTTCAACTTTGAGATCGAAAAGGGTGTCGAGGTACGAAAACGACATGGCCGATCGATCCGAACCTGGGTTTAAAAGAGCTTCACGGCGGTTCTCGATGAACGGGACAACGTAATCTATTTGCTCTTTACGAACTTGGAGCGCTCGCTTGCGTTGTTTGTAGAAAAACGGGCTTAAAATGGGAAGATAATCATCGATTCTTGGAGTAACTGTAATCAAAACAGCTTTCATTACTTCATCCATTTTCTCAACAGTTTCTTCATCCATTTCGACGCCGAAACACATGGCTAAGAGTATGCAAAAAACCGCGAAACGAGCGTTTTTCAGCACCGAGATGACGCCGTCGTTAGCATCAGCTTCGGCTTTGAGACGGTCGATGAGTTTATCCATTGCATGTTCCCTAACAGTACGAAACTCTTTGAGTTTACTGGAGCTCAGCATATTTTGAACCATGTTCCGCCTCAGGGACCGCCACACGGGGCCGTAAACGGCGGCGTTGACAGTGAACTTGTTGCAGCTAAAGATGTTTCGAGTGGGGTTTTCCCGTGGCCGGCTGGCGAAGAGTGCACTCTTTTCGATAAACGCTTCGTGGCAGAGCTTGGCGTCGCTGAGTACAATCAGGGTTCGAGTCCCCATTCTAAGAGTGAAAATGGGTCCATATTGACGACGAAGATCGTCGACGTATTCAAAGAAGGGTTTCCCAGAGCCAGAAGCTTGAAAAAGATTGCCGACAATAGGCCAACCAGGGGGACCAGGAGGGAGGTTAAGGCGGCGTTTGGCCCTTGATCTGCAAGAAAGGAACAAAATCAAGCATGAAATGATGAATGCAAGGATATGGAAGAGCGAAGCAGCCATTTTTGGGAAGAACTGTAAGGGAAAAGCTTAGCTAAGAGATGACTATAAAAAGGAGAGGCGCATGAAATTGCAGGTGGGTTTCCATTAAAACCTGCACAGAGAAGGTTCCATTAATGCCGACAAAAAACCATGGGCTGCTGCAAAGAAACCACCTAAAAGCAAAATACATGCAAAAGAAAGAAATTTGAGAAAACGAATTTATTGCATTCGACTACTCTCCTTTCAGTTCATAAACTTAGGAAATTTACAGTTCTTCAACGTGTAGGTCTATTTGACTATTCATTTATTTCCAGTCCTTGAACTCTTCATCGCTTCAACTGTGAGCCCACGGGGTTTCCCTCTGAAACTGTCAGTCTCAGCTTTCCTATGGTTCAGCATTGATTGAGCTCTGTAAAGCTGAGTTTCATAGTAGAGATTTTCCTGTGGTCAACTCTAGGATGTTAAAATAAATTTAAGTGAGCAAGCAAATTTGGTTGAGTGGCGTTCTTACTTGTGGAATCTCATATTTTTTTTAGGTAATAACTTTTAAATTAATTAAAAATGTTCTCATTTCTTCTTCAGAGTTTCTCCCTCTCATTCTCCTCCAGATGGAATTTGGATTAGATTTAAGATTTGTTAAAAATAAATAAATAATTTTAAGGATAAATTCTATATTGAGCTGTTCAACTATCACTTTTGTTATGTTTTAGTCACCTAGTTATTTTTCTAACCTAATATATATTGTTTAATTTTGATTTCATATTAGTAATCCGTTGTTAAAAAATTAACGTTAATACTAACGTGCGACTATTAGATAATATTACATTATCAGAAACATACATCGAATTGGCCAACATTATCAAGTACTCTTGGGTGAGACATGTGTTATACATGCATCAAGAATGTATATCTGATTAGTCTACTCTAGAGTATGTGGAAGAGTCTAGGTCACATCAGCGTTAAAACAACATCTAAATTAGCATTTAAGTGCCCCCATACTTACTTTAGATATATATAAATATTTCTAACACAAACTGGACGATCTTTGTATATAAGTAATTCAAGTGTTTTCATTGTTTCCCAAATGTCAAACAAGGGTGTAAATCATATGAAATCTTACCTTAAAATATTTTTATGTTTATTCATAGATTTAATTAAGTTTCCACTTCTAAGCTTACTCCTCACTTGATTCTTTCAATGAAACATATTCTCTAAACTTTTTCTTTCTAATGGTATCAATACTTAATCCTGAATATTGATACTTGTCTCAGGGTATCGATACTCTCATAAGTATCGATACTTACCAAAAGTATCGATATCAATTTAAGCCTCAAATTTTTAAAGTTAAACTAGTATCAATACTACTACCCCCAGTATTGATACTTGAAGAACATTATCTATACCTTATGAACATAGTGTGAATACTACAATGCAAAAACCCCTAATTTTGGTCATCGTATGAACAATATCAATAGCAGTTCATCTAGTGTCAATATCGAAATCCATAAATGTCATATTTCTTACGGGAAAATCACCCCAAACATATATCTAAGGCCCTAAGATGATGTTGAAAGTTTATGGGAATTAGTTTAGGTCATAATACATCATTTTTATGCATGAATAACATTAAATTCGTCTCAAACCATTCCCTAAGCAAAATGCGCCCACATGCTAATTGAACTCAAACACATCACCTTGATAAACAAACGATGTTTGTTGAATCCAAAGTGCTTCTCTAAGTCCTTCATCATATTCTCCGTAGTTCCTGACTGCTTCTCTAAGTCCTCTTTTGTGTCCTCTGCAATTGTATGTCTGCTTCTCTAAGTCCTCTTTCGTATCCTCTGCAATTCTATGCCTGTTTCTCTAAGTCTTGTCACATCTTCTGCAGTACCTTGATTGTTACTCTAAATCCTTCGTCGGATTCTGCTCCATATGTACAGAGATATATGATCTGATACACTTTGTTGAGATTATATAATGAACACGTTACATGAATCATGTTCTGCTCTGCTCCGTTGAGACATGTGATAACTCTGAATACGAATAATAATTTTCTCTGTAAATTAGTGAAACATGTTAAGTATATGTATATTTTTGCATGCATTTGAAAGACTATACTTTTAATTCGTTTCATTAGGGAAGTATATGTATATTTTGCGGACTACTTTTATTATGGGTGGATATAGTCTTTGTGATACATGTGTTTCATTGCGAAAGTATATGTATAAAGGAGTTAACGATATTTGAAATAGACAAAGGAATGTCAAAGAGTAAACATAAAGCATTTAGATATCACGTCGTTTACAACACTGCTTTATACAAAATTGACATAGATTAAGGATTAACCAGCATCCCAAGGTTGTACTAGAATACAACAACAGATGTGGAACATTAGTCCCCGTGAAAACAACTATCATGAAGAAACAATATCCTATGACTAAGATGGTTCCTTCCCAGAATTCGTCATGCATGAAAACAAAAAACCAGCACCCTTGAATTATAAACCCTAAGAAAATAAAATGGATGTTTTGTAAACTAACTAGAAACAGGACTGCAGGTGATAAATAGCATCCTACGATCGATACACTGAGTTTCGAAACTTGGTATGCAGTAAACATGAACACTGTCAAAGCAAAGAACAATATTGAAAATATCATGATGACTTTGAATGTTAACTGGGGTGGAGCTATCAAACATATGGATTGGACGAAGCATATTGCAAGGAATGCAAGCAGTACCTGAAGTGCAATCCTGAAACCAAGGGGGAAAGGTTTAAGGAGAGCTAATGTTAGGAAAAATGCTACCAGGAAGACAATATAGGTCGGAATGAAAAACAAAAGAAATATAGCTTGATGCATGACTGATATCCCCATTTCCCCTACGTCATGATCTCCGTTCGTATTGGTGGATATCCAGGAGCTTTTATCCGGTAAAACACCCATAGGTGGGCTGAGAGTGGCTTGGTAGGTTGCCGTTAGAAGCAATCCTAAAATTACTAGCAAGGCATTGCGGTCATCACCCGATATATTGTATGTATCGTAGTCGTAGGAAAATAGTGACGATGTCATTGTCGTGTAGGCTACGATTTGTTTCTTCAACTTATAGTGAAAGTTTGAAACTCTTGGACTAATGCAACTACGCAAAATATTAATGCTTTCTTTGTTATTATGTTTACGTGCCAGGTCTAATGCTGTCAAACCATCCTGATTAGCCACATGCTTATCAACCTTGCATTCTAATAGAAGTTTGAGCACCTGGGGTTGATTATTGCCTGCAGCTATGTGTAGTGCAGTGTTGCCATCTTCATCCTTTCGGTTCATCACTTCTGGATAATAGTCTTTCTTCTGAAGCATTCGGATTAGGACTTGGAAAACATCCAGTCTCTTATTTTTCACTGAGATGTGCAAAGGGGTATAATTCTGAGTCGTGACATCTCGGATACAATCAGGACAAACTTCGAGGAATGTATCCAACAGTCCATCTCGGTTACCAACTTTACTGATGTAATGCAAAGGAGTCTCACCCTTCTTTCCTCTCACACGAACAAGATCTTTATCGATTTCCAAGAACCGGAGCACCATTTCTTTATGACCATTTTTAACAGCAATGTGAATGGGGCTCAAACCATGTTGGTTTAGCTTCCTAGCAAACGATGGCTTTAAATTCATGATCTCCATTGCAAACCCAATGCACCCTGCTTCTGCAGCTATGTGTAGTGGAGTGTCGGTGAACTCGACCACATCGAAGCGCCTCAAAATGTTTCCATCTCTCTGAATTAGTCTATACAGTTCACTAACATTTCCAGTTCGAGCAGATATTCTCAAACTCTCATCCATTTGAGGAAGAAGGAAGTACAATAGTCGGAGATAACTGAAAGGGCTGGTTCATTAGAGCACATAATAGGAAGATTAAAAGACAGAAATTGTTAGAGTTTGGACGGTCAATTGAGAGCCAACAAGGGAAGAAAAGACATAAATTAAAAGGTAAAGTATTTTCCGAGGTCGAGAAATGCTTTCCTCCACTGATGTTGAACCATACCTTTGATATGTTCATAGACAAAAGTTTAAACAAATTGCGTATAAGAAAATAATATTTCATGTTGTCCTATATGTTGAGAGTTGAGTCCTCCAATGCAGGCAAAGTTGGAGTCTTGAAAGGCATCTGAGGTGCATAGGTGCATGAAGTGCATTTCCAAGATTAAAGTTATACTTCAATGTCTCTTATAGTTGTAGAGCATTACATTCTATTGAAGATAAGTCGGCAAACAAGGATGCTTCCATTTTACAATCAACTTCAGCCGACTTTTAGCTGTCCTTTAATTATGTACTTGCTTTTCGGTTTTGTTCAATTATGTCCACGTCTATGGTGTATAATTTATATTTATAATCTACTTAATCTAAAAAAATACTAGTTTTAAAATTAAAAATATTGAATTCATTTAGTGTCCTCGGTGATTAAAAGGAGTGTTGTTCATTTTAGAAGTCCTGAGTAGTCACGAACGGAGTCAAAATTCTCATTCAAGGGGGAAAATGTATAACTAAAAATAGAAAATGAGACAAAATCAAAATAAACCAAAATTTAAAGGTCTAAATAGATATTTATCTCTATATCTTTTTTATTGATAAAAAATTAGGGGACAGTGGCCTCCCAACCCAATACATAGCTACGCCTCTGTGAGTAGTGGAACCAGGGATTCAAATAGTAATCGGTAGAGGAATAATGATCTTTATATTGTGGTTGTGGCGACGTCCAAAATCATTGTTGCAAAAAATACCGGTGCATTACGGAAAATAACATTGTTAAGTGAAATCACATCAATAACGATAGATCAAGACCACAATTTAATGGGTAGCGATTAATTGTGACAATAGTGGAATGTTATTTCGCTATTTAAATTTTTTATAAAAAGATCGGCTACTTTTCTTAATTTAAAAAAAATCACTCCTTTAGAAAAAATTCATGATCGCTATACACACAATAACAGTTAGGGTTGAACAAAATTCGACTTGACTTGAAAATTTAATTTTTTTTTCAATTTTGAGTTATTCGAGTCAACTCGAATTATCAATTCCCTTTTCAAGTTCGAGTCGAGTTGAATTTTTGAATTTCGAGTTACTCGAAAAACAAAAAATTTGACTAAATATTTAGACAATTTTACGATTTAGTCTATGATTTCATTATTCCTTCATTTTCGGTCATTTTTTTATGAAATTTGTACCACGTATTCCTAAACCATTGTAGAATACATATGAACTTTCAATTTCTCTTTTTGATAATAAGTTTTTTATTTTTAAATTTAGCGCTTCAATTTTTCATAATTTACTTATTTCTTCAATTCATCATGTATTTTAAGTTCGTTTTTCACCAAATTTGACCCACATGTTCATAATCGTCATGGAATACCTCTGTAACTTCAATTCTTATTTTTTTACTAAAAATGGACTCTCTTTTTTATTTAGTCCCTTAACTTTACATTTTACTCAATTTGATCTTTTGATTGCAATTGTTTGCAAATTCTTTATTATCATAAATTCATTGACTCTTTTATACACTCTTCAATATATTTACCCTCAAATACTTTCTTTAAAATATAATATTATGAATATATTTTATAATTTTAGATTGTATTTGATATATTAAATAATATTATAATGTGAAAAGAATATGAAATATATATCTTACATGGTTAGAGAAAGTCGAAAAATTAGAATCAATCCTTATCATAATATTATAATTATAATAAAATTAGTATCGAAACTCGAATAACTTGACCCAAATTTCTTAAACTCGACTCTACTCGAAAAAATTTAAAGTTAAGTTCGAGTTATAAAATACGACTCGTCAACTCGAATAACTCAAAATTTTTTGACTCGGCTCGATCGAATGCTCACCCCTAATAACCGCAATAGAATTCATTATATCTACAACCGCGATAAATACAACCCGACTACAACTTCAATTTAAATCCCTGGCATGACCACCAAATCCTTTTCCAGAAAAATCAAAGGGACCAAAAAATTGACCCTTACTATCTCTCACAACCACTCGAGCTTGATCTTCTGCTTGCAGGTGTGTAATAGGCATCAACATTTATCTTGATGGTAAGAACAATTGGAGAAGCCCAATGAACAACCTCGAGGGAATTCTGATGTTTCAATGTGTTGGCCAATGCCTAAACTTATGACTTGTGCCCCTGAATCTGAATGTAGGTAACAAGCTCCACAACCCTTTGTTTAATCTGCCCCTAGAAAATTTGTTTCTTGAAAATAATGAAGCCCAAAGCGTTGAAGAAAATTCAACTCTCCTACTTGTATCAATGTGCTCGAAAACCCACAGCACGTAGTTAATGAAATTTGTATGGGTTATGCTCAAAGGCCAATGCAATCCTAGTAAACACCACATCTCATTCGCATATGCACAATCATGATTGAGATGCTCTAAAATTTCAATATATAATTTACATCTATGACATAAAAAGGTGTTTTAAATTCATTTGTTAAACAAATTATGTAGGGTCGGAATGAAATTATTTAAGAATCTCCATGTTATATTCAAGATTTTAGCATGGCATTGGAGGATCAAACCTGCCTATAGACACATTACGTTGTAGGAATTGTAGTAGAAGGGCCAAAGAGCATGGGATACCCACTATGAATTGTGTCTCCTCATCTGAGAACACCAACTCAATCAAATCTCTATTCAATTTGTTCAAGCCCAATAGTAAAAGATCTAAGACCTACACCAGCCCAAGAACTTGTGGTGACTTGATATTGCACATGGGATGTAATGACCGGAATGCTTGAGTCAACATATGAGCATTGACCCAAGACATTATTTTATCTATTAGATAACTTGGTTAGATATTTTTAAGCTAAGTGTGTGCCTAATCGGGTGAGAATTTTTTGAGTTGGGAATGAAAGAGGAAGGACAGTGAATGTAATATACCCACTCATGAAAAAGATTGCTAAAATCTCATTGAATTACTTTGTTTGCTGTGAGTTTTTGGGGACAATTGCTGAGCACAAGAGCTTATTTCTCCTCATCTTTATATTTTCTTCCCTCTCTTTCTCTTATCTTCATCATTCAAAAACTCTTAACTGATTAAGCATCAAGGTAGTATCTTTTTCTTTCTATATAACCATTTTTTGGATAATTAAGAATTTATTACCCAAAATAGCAGAGAACTGCTACAAGACTAATCCAATCAATGGAACAAAAGAAAGGAGAACCCATATACAACAAAAATCAGACTATACCTCAATGATTACAAAGAGATAAATTAGTGCTATCTAATTTATTAGCATTCCTATTACTTAGATGAGATCCTACAATCTGCTTGATTGAAAATTTAACAACATGGCTGAATGTGTGGACAAAATCCTGACCTGACACCTGAGAGTATCCATTTGTCACTAGCCTAGCCTCGTAACGATGAATAGAGCCGTCATGATTCTTTTTGAATTTGAACAACCACTTACAACCCACAATATTACGGCCTTTAAGAACCTCAACAAGTGTCCATGTGTTATTATGTTTGATAGCGTTAAACTCTGTATGAACCGCCTCAGTCTATTTGGAAGACTGAAAAGCTTCACCTATCGTAGTTGGTACAACAGTATCCATGCAGACCATGTGAACTTTGGGTTTAAAAACCCCACATTTGCTACGAGTCATCATAGGATGCCGATTAGTTCCCAATACGTCACCCGATTGACCATATTGAACACCAGCACCCTCATCTGAACAAGCAGCAGTAACAACATCTTTCTGTGAGACAGTTGGACTGTGGGCAGAACCATCAATAGACATATGATCATCTACGGCTGCAGGATGAACCGGGGAGGCAACAGTAGCCTCTCCATGAACACTAATGTCAGTAGGAGCAGGAGCAGGAGTGTTATGTTTATCAAGCTTGCTTATATCAGTCACTACCTCAAGTGATTGAGGCACCATTGATTGATCAGTCCAATGTTTACAAAGCCTTGTCTCGACAAAAGGAAAGTGTCATTCGTCAAAAGTAACATGCCTTGAAACAAACACACGACCATAAGCACCAAGACATTGAAACCCTTTGTGACAAGGGTTGATTCCTAAAAAGGTGCACGACTAAGACCGAGACTCTAGCTTATGTCGATTAAAAGGCCTTAAATATGGAAAGCATCGACACCCAAACACCCTGAGCATGTTGTAATCCGGTTTCTTCCCAAACAACTTCTCAAATGGAGACACACCATGAAGAACCTTTGTTGGCAACCGATTAATAAGATGAATGGCCATAACTGCAGCATAAGCCCAAAATCAAATGGGTAACAACGCCTAAGCAAGCAGTACAAGAGCAAGCTCCACAATGTGTCTGTGTTTCCTTTCAACAACACCATTCTGCTCAGAGGAATTTGGACAAGAGAGACGATGAATAATACCAGCCTTAGTCAGCTCTTGAGACAAAACACTATACTCCCCTCCCCAATCACTCTGAACAACAAGAATTTCATAGCCAAATTGAGTTCTAACATATTGCTGAAACAAACGAAACACGTGAATAGCTTGAGACTTGTCAGTTAGCAAGTAGAGCCATGTATGACGGGTGCAAGCATCTACAAAGCTCACATAATATCGAGAGTTGTTTGACACAACATGAAAGGGACCCCATAAATCAGTAAACACTAATTGAAATGGAGAATCATAAGGCGTAGTAGAATTAGAAAATGGCAATTTATGGCTCTTTCCCATATGACAAGAAACATAAACTTTATTAACATCTTTTGAAATTTTTACATCAACTGTCTTGCAAACATTTTCTAAAGTTGCACGAACAGGATGCCCCATCCTACGATATCATCCAACGCAAAGGAATACAAGCCATTGCACTCCTGTCCTCTTAGCAATACCTCACCAGATGCTTCATCGTGAACATAGCAATGTTTGACATAAAACTAAAAGAAGACTGCATTATCCATGGCAAGCTTCGAAACAGAGAGAAGGTTCTTGGTTATCTTTGGAACATGCAACAAATCATTTAGCACCAAAGCATGAGAAGATGAACATAATTTAGAATGACCAATAACATTAACGTCTAGGAAAACCTCATTACCTACAACTAATTTACATAGGCCATTAAAATCCGTTTGATGCAACACATTCGTAGCATCGGGAGTCACATGATGTGTGGATCCAGAATCCACCACCCAATGGTCTCGTGTAGCAGTAACAATGTGTGCTTGTGAAGAATAACTTGTATTTCGTTCAGCTTTAGACCGAGAACAACACACACAACCTTCTGCGGATACATCTTCAAGATTAGCATAATGAACACCAGCTGATCTCTCCTTAGAACGATATCCAATATCATTAGCAATACTAGTAAAGCTTTCATCAAACCGATACCAGCAACTAAAAACCATATGGCCATCCTTGCCATAAAGTTGACATTAAATCCGCGAACGACCTCGACCACGAGGTCTCCCACCAGAATCTTACCGAGAAAACCTTCGATCTTGATGGTCATGGGGAGCATCATCAGACCTGTTTGTCGACTTATCATGCACAAGATGGGCACTCATTGGTAACAACTCTTATTGCTCATCAAAACCGGCAAGCTGAGCTCCAGCATCTACTAACATAGAACAAATGTTGTCAAAGGGCACATATTCTCGCATGTTGATTATAATGGTCATAAAAGGCTGATATTACTTGGGCAAACCCTTCAAAATACTAGCAACACGCTCAGCTTGAGAAATAGGACTACCACAAGAATATAACACATCACATACCTCTTTAACCTTGGTGAGATATACCCTCATGCTATCACTACCTTTCTTGAGCGAGCGAAGCTTGTAGTATAAGCTTATAACTGTCGTTGCAAACCGATTATCAAAGAAACTAAGCACCGTGTGCTAGACAGCTGCCGCCGTCTCCGCTCCAACAAACTGATGAAGAAGATGAGGACTAATGGTGGACAAGAGCCATGAAGCGAGGGCACTATCTTGAGCAACGAATTCTTCATATAGATCATTAGGAACAACAATACCAGCTTCATCAAAAACCGTTTCAGGCAGAGACTGCACTGACCCATTCCGAAGATGTTCGAGTCGATGGCTGCGAACTGTAAGCAAGACTTGTTGCTTCCATAGCAAGAAGTTCGTTTCATCCAAAACAACATTTACCTTTTTATTTGTAAAGGTTTTGCTGGCATTTGCAGAAAACTCCATGGAAGAGCCAAGAAGAGCACAACAGAAACAAGCCAAGCAACCTCAAGATCTTGTAGCGAAAGATACCATGTTGAGAAACTACGAAAAGCACATAACAACCAGAAACTTCTTTTATTATTTCATGCACTAGAGTACTTGATTACACAGATGATTACACAGTCTTTTATAGCACTTGTTGGTGCACAACTATCTTGCAGAGACAAGTAGGTTAGGCTTAACTGACATCCAACCCACTTAACCACTCTTCAACAACCATCTAACTGTGTAACTAACAGTGGACACATTGGATCTGCCTCATTCAGCACACGTGGGATCAACTTCACGTGAGATCAACTTCATTCCCAATAATTCTATTTAGGGAAAGAGGACGCTGATATAACGGGGGCGAAAGGGGTGAAAATGATGTTGTTCGGTGTGGGGAGAAGGAGTTGCCCTGGTTTAGGGATGGCGACGGTGCATATTCACGTGTTGTTCCAAGTGTTTAGGTAAATGTATTGCAGTTTCCATTGTTCCGGTGGGTGGCTGATTTATTCTCGAGTGGCTTTTAATATAGGCGTTAATTGGTGTGTTATGCTACGCGTGTACTGTTTTTTTTTCCTAGTGTGGGCAATTACTGCTTTATATTCAATAAAATTCTATCTGGTTTAGACAAAAAAGTCGATATTCTTTCTTGAGAAATCAACCATATCTACAAACAATTGGTATAATAGACTAACATACTGGATTTCTTAAATAATGTCAAAAGTTTAAAAATTAACATTTAATTAAACAAATTGGATTAAAAGTGTCATCATAATGGACCTATGCAAAACTTAATCCGAAACAGTCAGATCAATAGATTGAATACGAGTAGAAAAAAACCAACAACGTTTGATGGTGCACCAGTCTTGGTTATTTCAATGGTTGTTAATTACTTGTTACCAAAAATTCCAACGTAGGCTGAACGGTGTTTAATCTGTTACCGAAAAATAATTGAGGAAGTCAAATTTAAGGGATAAAAATGTCATCCATGAAAAAACTTATGAAAACCAGTTTAATCTATTGAATAACTGAAGTGTTTTTTTTTTTTTGTTACTTTCTATGTTAGTATTATGATTTGAGGTCAAGAATTTTTAAAACATGTGGTTAAAAGTTCTCGGTTGATACTTTTCATTTCCCCTAAGTTATAGATTCAACACTTATTAGGAGTAAATTCTTCTTCCTCCTCCCCTGGATAGAAATTGTTCAAAGAAAAAGTATTATGATTTGTATAATTGTTTATGGGTTACGCATGACAAATATTGTCTCACAAGGAAATCAAAGTAATTCAGCTATACACTATCATGATTCAACACAATCAGATGAAGTCGTTCTCTCACTAATCACTACATAACCGTGTCTCATCTAGAATAGTATCAAGGATAAATTAATCTTTTTGTCTTTTATAACATATAATGCAATAAGCATTAGTGGTGCCCATAATATATTTACAGTAAGCCACAAAAACAGAAAACAGTACACTTCTCAAGCAGGAGATCCGCACAAGTTACTCGAACTCGGGTTTGACTGTCAGATACGGATATTTATATGACACGAACATGATTACATTTTTTTATAATTTTTCATGTACTTGGAGGATCTTTGGAGGTCATATATTCGTATCTATGTTTCGTACACGAGCGAGAGACACGGGTGCTTCAAGAAAAATGAAGAGTCCGAGCAAATATAGGATCTGCATGCATTAAACTCGACCAAGATAATTCAAGGGATTGAAGGGGTTTCTACATGCTTGCTTCTCGAGTCTTTAATGCTGGCCTCATCATCTTCAGTTGTTAGGGATGTGTTCTGCCCGGGTTCCAATCCATCTCCCCCAGAGTCCATCCCACGGCTATCATTTCTCGATGGGAGGCCATGACGTCGCGTGCCGAAATGAGATCGAACGGCTGAACTGAACAATGGTTGCATCAAACGCTTCTTCTTAGAAGATTCACGCAGCGATAGCCGGCAAACGGGACATGTGGAATGCTGTTGAAGCCATGTATCTATGCATGTTACATGGAAGAAGTGGCCACAATAGGGCAGGATACGCAAGATATTGTCGGCATGGTATTCGGAAAGGCAAACTATACACCTGCCAGAAACAGTAAAAATTGTAGATAGAAGATGGAGATGCAATAACACTTAAAACTCAAAGATTTTAGAAATATATTCTGTAATGGAGAACCATGATGTTAGGTTATCAAAAAGAAGAATCATGAAGCAAATCATCCTTAAATCATAAGGTATCTTTCATGTTAAGCAGGTCCTTACTAAGTAACTCAAGCTAGCAATAATCCAAACCAGAAACGATGCGATAAAAGTCGAAAAGATCGACTAACCCAAGGATGACCAACCTCATCATCATATATCATATCATGGACCAGAAACTGAAATAGGTCGAATCTAAAATGATTGAAACAAAAATATTTGACCACGAAATGAACCAAACTCGAAATAACTAGAACCTGAAGAAAGACCAACCTGAGCCTACCTAGTTGGCATTTCCATAAGGACCGTAACCATTCATTTCCATCCATGTTGTTCATTAAGTGTACATATGACACACAAAATATCATTTCTAAGATAGCTCATAAGTGATTCTGTGATTCTTCTGGAATTCAATACATAAGAAATAAACAAAAAGGTACAAGCTTGTTAGACCAGAGAATCGACTGAAACTAGAACTTCTGTATATTTCAGGCTATTTGAGGTTACATCTATGTGCTTCGGTGCGCAACAAATATGAAGATAATGCCATGAATATTATAGAGAATGTTCGCACTTGGTAAGTTCACGGATATCCATATTACTTAAGTAGACAAAGTCCAGATTGTAACTAGCTCAAGATTTCAACAGTCCCTCTCATCCATTCATCTTCCTCCAGTTATGCACTGTCTTCCAATTTAGACATCTCAAGAATTGTTGTCTCTTATCAGTGTTATTTAAACTCTTTTTTTCTTTTCTTTTTTTAACAGAATAAAAAGTTCAAAATTATAGAGAAAATAATATAAGAGCCAAAATACGAGGGATTAGAGTATTCAATTCTCAACCAAAAACATGCATGGAAAAATACCAGGAATAAGGAAAAAAAAAACATATTATTGTTTGCGCCCTCAGGGGAATAGCAACAACCTTCCTAAATCACATTGGTGACTTGATGTATGCTTCATAACCTTAAAGCAAGAGCTTCAATTATTCATATCACTTCATTAGACATTACACTCATTAGTATTTTAAGCTCACAAATCCAACCGAATACTGCAATTAGTGCTTCTTATGGACATTGCTAATGTCGAGAAATTAACTATGTATCGAAAGATTTATATGCGGAGAATTGATTACTCACTAGCAAATCCTAGGCTACTCTTTAAATTTTCTTGAAGTATTCATTAGACACTTGTATCCACATTGGATGGAGATATGACCCCCAAAGGATCCTCCAAATACAAGGGAAAACTTTAAAACAAATTCGAGCTGCATACCAGTCATAGACACATATCATTTATATGAAACTCATATCATACCCCAGTTGAAGTATCATAAAGAAGCAAATTAAAGAAAATTCATCCATTTCATATAAAGTAAAATGTTATAGGCTAAAACAGCAGGCAGAGGTTTCTGAAATTAAGCAAAGGTTCCGAAAACATACTGAGCATCTTCCGAGGCCGAGAAGCACACATCACTGTATTTCTTGGTGGGAAAGTTGGCAACGACAACAGACTCTAGACCATGTAAACCCCGTTCGAGCTGCACCACACCATGAAAAAGGATGAATACCACTCACTTTCCATCTGCTTTCTGTGTGGTTTGTTTTAATGTAGTCTACTTGGTACCCACCAAAATAACTAAAACGACAAACCCTTTTTCCTATCTATTTTCATCTCCAAAGTTTAGATAACATATCAACAAAGAAGAAAACACAACTAATCTTGAAAGCAGGTAGACAATTCATAATTTATACTAAAAGAACCTTATGAACTTCCTCTTCAGTACAAACAAAATTCAACCTTCCATTGCTTATTATGGAAAACAAATTTTAAAATGAAAAAAAGAGAGAGTATGTTCATATTGAAACCCATTTCCATCAGTAATGGTGAACCCTACAAACCCAGATTTGCTAATAAAACCAAAATTACCCAGTTCTGGATATTTTAAGGATTGAAAAAAGAAGAGTACTTACTGTACTAGGACCAGATCTTGAAGCAACAGGGAAGGATCTCCGAGAAGCAATGAGCTGAATCCGAGCACAAATCAAACGAGTACAAACAAAGACGATGAACATAATACTCATTGTGAATCCTATTATCGTCATCACCAAATTTATCCCAACTGATTTCATTTTTTTTATGTATCCCAAATCTTTATCTCATAAACCCAAAAAGGAAAATCAAATTCCCGGGCTTACTACAACCAGTAGGAACAAAACTGAAGCAATTCTACGATAACCCATTTTCATTTTCCACTTTTTGAACATGAAAACGAACGCTTTACAATGATTTTTCAGTGAGAAGAGCAGTGAAGCAATTGTTTCATTGTTGGAAAGAGAGAGAAGGAGAGCAGAAGCAGGAGATTTGAAAGAGAATATCGGATTATGAGATCTAAATCTTAGTTTGATTTGCACTTTGGACCCCAGAAAATGGAAAATTGAAGATGATTCTAATGGAATTGGTTGCTTTACTATACTAGTGCTTCGATTCTCTGTTTTGTCAGCCTAAGTCTTTTAAAAAGTCTATAAATTAAGTAAAAAGTGTGCCAGAATATTTATTTAATTTTCTTATTCGTTAGGAGCAATTTCAGTTGTCAGTTTGTGAGTTGATGATTATGCCAAATGCATTTGTTTATTATTTATATTCTTATTGATCATGTGAACATTTCTTTTCTTTTGTTCAAATACCATGTGAAAGATTCTCGGAAAATTTTGAGAAATCCATGAAATAATGGGGACCCAACATCAGCCGAAAGCCAGCCATTCCCAAACCAAATAGTAAAAAAAAAAGTTATGTTTGTCGAATTGAGGAATTTTTTTAGGGTAAAATATACTAATGATATATGATATTATTTTGTTGAATTCTTAAACTATTAAAAGTTATGAAATAGTCATATGACTATTCATATGTTTCAAAATCATATTTTTTCATTAAATTGACATATGTCAAAGCTCGAAGTTAACATGTTGGCTGAGATATGATAAAATCATATTTTAATTATGTATATTGGCATCGTCGTTGCTTTCAAGCACTAACTCGTTAACATAATGTTTCAAGCATGGGCTCGATGACATAATGTAAACAGATATTCAATCCAAAAAATACAATTAAAATGATTATAGGACCAGATTTTATCATATCTCAATCAATATGTTAACGTTCATCTCATACGAGTACAAAATTTTTAACGAAAAAGGACGAATTTGGAACATATGAATAGCCGAGTGATCATTATATAACTTTTAATAGTTGGAGGACTCAACAAAGCAACACCTTATAATCGAGGGACCATTTGTGCACTTTACCCTTTTTTATTTAAAACAATTTATATAAGACAAAATTATTATAGAAACTCATCAAGTGATCTAAGTAGTAAAAGGAAAAAATTGTTCTCCCTAGAGATCTTCGACTCAAGTAGTTATGTCTGCAAGGTATGTGTTGTCAATATGTTAAGAAAATTCTAAACATGTATTATTTTGTAATTATTCCAGATTAATCAAAAATATAATTATTATACTAAATAATGAATTATCTTTTTAACATCTTGTTAGATCTATATATTAGAATGAATTGTTTATTCATGAGGAGGTGAGCAAATACAACCCTAAAAAAATTCTTTTAAAAGCTAATATATATATATATATATATATATATGTACGCGTGTGTGTGAGATAGGAGAAAATTTATAAAATAAAAGAAAATAAAATTACAAAAGTAAAAGTATTAAACTTTTATCCTTTTTGCAATAAAAGTTAGAGACTTATTAAATTAAGGAAAATACAAATTTTAATTTTTCAAAATAAATCATAGATCTGTAAAATAAAGATTGATAATGATCGATTAATATGTTAGTATTGATCGTGTCGATATGAATTTCGGATGAACATGAGAAAATAAATAAAGTAGTAGAGTATTGATGGCACAAGTGTTTTTTTATTTATTTTATAAATGAGATCAGCTGGCTGTCTTAGTTGATCGGGACTAAGCTTCCATGAACTAAGCCTGTATTTTTAGTATCATTATCTTATTTAGTCACATCATTAAAGTTTGAACTATTTTATATTTTAATCATTTATGATTTAAGTTATTTTAAATTTGATTAGTTTGGAATATAGATTAGATAAAATTCTATAATCAAATAGAATTATCCCAAAGATTTGTACTTAGTTAGTGCACTTAAACTATTCTTTTAGTAGATGACATTTATAAGTTTGCAAAACTTGGTTTACAAGGAAACGAAATATATTCATTTATTTCAAGATTTTACATCAAAGTAGTTGTGAATAATTTGATTTTGAAAGTCAAATTGTAGATGACATTTACAATTCACAATGTTGCAACTACAAAGGATAAGAATCTAATCTATCTTTTCCAAGAGACCGGCTATACAAATTGCAATCTCTATATCTCTCGTCTCAGTGACGGATCTATTAAGGATTTAGGATAGATATATACATTTTAAAATTCAAATTTTATACATATAATTACTTATATTTAGTGATTGTGACTATCCTAAAATTTTATATATATTCGATTAATATACAGTAGTGGATCTATAAATATTTTTTAGGGTTGATACGTATATATATTAATAACAGGAATTTTTCTTATAGGGTGTATACAAATAAAATTTTAGGGTGATCATTATCAGTAAAATGAACAACTAACATAAAAAAATTCTAATTTTTTTTAGGATTTCTCTCTTTTTCTCTAACCTAAGTTTTTTCTCAATACTTTTGTGTCGCCTTCCTATCTCTTTGTTTAGTCAACGACGTCACCGATTTTAATATTGGGTGTCGATCGTATGTGATTATTATTTTTCTTTTTTCTTTAATATTATATCCTTTGTTTTTCTTATTTTTTCTTGAGTTTTTTCAATTTTAAATAAAAAATTTTGTTCTTGTGATGCACTTCTCTCTGCTCTTATAATATGTTTCTTATGGCTTTTGGTACGTTTTCCAGATACATTTATGGTCGTGTTGGTTCTCACACAAAGATCCTCACGACATTTATTTTCTGATTGATTTTTCGGTGATCACGTACTGTAAGATCCCCTCTTTGGTAAAAATATGTTTGTCGATATAATCAGAGTTGTGTAACGAAACAACCTTCCAAATTGTTTGGTTTGCTCACCACTCCTTTATTACTTCATAAAGTGTCTCGCTCGACGGAGATAAGAAATTTTATGAAGGTTATTAGATTATTTTGATGTTGGACGTCATTCTTAATGAAATGTTTCGTTTTTCTTCGAATCTTTGGATTTAATATTTTTATTTTATGTATGAGTTTTTTTGTGACTATTGTCCTCATATCTCTATATTTTTGGTGTCTTGTTATTTTGATTTCTTCCATTATTTTTGTGAATGCAATCCATTTGCCATTATTGAAAAAACATGAAAAATTCGAATTTCAAGATAAACAAGTAATCACTCTAAGTAAACATTGCATCCACCACTATTAATATATATATATATATATATATATATATATATATATATATATTAAAAATATATCTGGATTCATCACTATTATTTTATTCTCTATATTCCTATTCTTTTCTTTTCTTTTCTTTTTATATAAGTTCCCATCAACCATAGGGAATAAAGAAGATGAGGAAAAACAAAGTTAACGGGCTTACACTTTTTGACTACCCTCTTCACTTTCTGCTGATTCTTCAAGTATTTCAACGCTCTTTTGACCCAAAGAGCCTTCTATTTCAGCATCAAAACTAGCATGAACACTGTACAAGATGTATACAAGCACTGCCAGACCCGAAAAGAAGCCGAATCGTAAGTACGACGGTCCGTCGAGAGACCCCAACAAGAAAACGTTCAAGAATATCGACATAGCCGGTAACCATGGCATGAAAGGGACACCCCAAAATGATGGTTTCCTTGCTTGTGGCACCGTGCAATGGAAAACTTGAAGTATCCATACGGCGATTACGACGCAAGTGGCGAGCACAAAGGGTTTAGGCTTGCCTGGTGGTGCAAAATGCCACAACATGGTGAAGATGATCGATGTAAGGGAGAATAAGCAAAGGAAGGATAACGTAGGCCAAGGCTTTGTCGTCCCTATCATGACGTAACGCCTGTAGACGACAGCATTTGACACCATATAGAACACAAAGAGAGTGCCTATGGATACCATGTTGAGGAGGATGTCTAGGTCAGTGAAAAGGGATATCGAAGCTGTGAAAATCCCTGCAAATGGAAAGAAGAATTATTAACCAAAGGTTATAAACTTCGAACATAAATCGTAAAACAAACATGTAAGAAAGTGTTGTCCAATTGATATGGTAGACTGGTAGTTGAACTGGACCATTATCAAAGTATGTATGGTAACAACTTTTGTTGACAGGAGAGGTTGTGATGAAAGGTCAGTATCAATGATGGGTGAAATTGAAGGGCATTATCTTCTAGTATCATGGATGGACCCAAGGCTTTAAAGGAAAGTTCAATATCAATAATTTCGAGTTTGAGTAGAGTTTAATAATTTTAAATTTATGAGCTTTCGAATTAAGTAGAATTCAATTTTTAATTTTTTGAATCGAATCAAACTCAACAATATTCGAGTCTTACCCGAGTCATTTACAACCCTACGTGGACCAATGTGGGCAAAGTATAAATCTTAAAACTGCTTTAAAAAGAGATGGGAAGTGAAAGGCGGTGGCTGAAATGATCAGTCAATAATGTCTATCATCGACATGGCTTTGCCTGCTACATGTCTGGCCTATGCAGATTCCCAGTTAAAAAGAAAATGGGTAAATTATACCTATTGCTCATTAAACTATATTAAGATAATTATTTTAGCTACTAAACTTTTAAAAATTATAAAATAATTATTAAAATTATCAAGCAATAATAAAATAATCATTACAATTATTATAAAGTTATCATTAAAATTTATCAGAATTTATTTTAAATGATTATTATAATTTTAAATAAATAATTTTATAAAATATTAAAAATACCAAATTATTTAAAATAATAATTAATTTTTTTAATTAAAATATTATAATTTTTTACAATTAATTATAGAGTAAAGTACACAAATAGTCTCTCGACAATGACATTATTTTATTGAATCTTTTAACTATTAAAAGTTACAAAATAAACCCTCAACTGTAGGATGTTGCTTTATTGAGTCTCTTGACTATTGAAAGTTACAAAATGATCAGCTAACTGTTCGTTACATTCGAAACTCTTTCTTTTTCGTTAAAAAATTAACGACAATCTGAGTTAGACGTTAACCTCCTAACTCAAATATGATAAATTTTGATTTTATAATTTCAAACGATTATCATATCTCAGCCGGTATGTTAACGTGCAACTCAGGCGATCATTAATTTTTTAACAAAAAATATGAGTTTGGAACATGATAAATAGACAAGTGACCATTTTATAATTTTTAATAGTTTAGAGAGTCAACAAAGTAATACTTTATAGTTGAGAGACTATTTTGTAACTTTTAATAGTCGAATGATTCAACAAAATAACATGATATAATCAATGGACCATTTGTATAATTTACCCTTAATTATAGTAAGGACAAAAATCATTTTGTAACAACTCAATAAATTCAATAGTTATTTTATAAATTTGAAAGTTTAAAAATCAAAATAATTATTTTAATATACTTTATTTATAGAAAATATATATTTTTCTCTTAAATTCTAATTAATTCGATATTTTCTGGAAAAAATAAACAATACTAAAAGAGTGTTTTTTCTATTAAAATGTTATTTTAAATTTTAAATATTTAATTAAATTCAAACCAATCAAATATAACATACATTTAAACGTAGGGATGAGTAAAATTCAATTCTTTTAAATTTGATATTAAATTTTTTTTGACTTGATATCTCATAACTTCGGAAACTCAATTTGACTAAAAAGTAAACATAAAATATAAAATATAAAATATAAAATATAATTTATCAATATAATTAATTTAAAATGTTTTAACTCGATTTAATGAATATTTATGTTGCTCATATAATTATCGGTTATCCATGGGTTTGGATAAGGTGATTTTGGTTTAAAAGGAGTGGAGACAAATAGAAAACACATGACATCGGGGTGAGCGTAAACGGTTCAAGTGGGACCCGTTTTCTTCCAACGGCCAAACCCCCCGAACCGACAAGAAAAGAACCGTACCGAGAAAGACGGAGGCGTTGACCGGAGTCGATGTTTTCGGGTGGACCCTCGCGAACCAAGCCGGGACCATGCAGGACCGGCCGATGACGCACATGTACCTAGCCTGTCCCAGCATCGCCACCAACAGCGACGTCACTATCCCGAAGCTAGCCCCCACCGCTATCACCCTCCCCACCCATTCCCACCGCCCTCTAAACGCCGCCGCAAACGGCGCCTCCACCTCGATCTGAATCAATAATCAAACACCCAATTACTCATAAAATACAGAGAGAGTACTTGCAAGAATGAATTGTTATTACCATGTCGTAAGGGAGTAACATGGACATGGAAGCGGCCATGAGACAGTAAAGGACGGTGACGATGATGACGGAGCCCGATACTCCGATCGGAATATCCTTTGATGGATCACGAACTTCCTCGGCCATCGTTGATATGGCGTCGTATCCGATGTAACTCAGGTAAACCATTGCAGCTCCATTGAAGACACCGGAGGCACCGTAGGGGAAGAAGCCGAATGGATTCTGTGGATTCTCTGGGCGGCTGAAGTTGTTCCAATCGCCTCTCCAAAAACCCATTAATATTACGAAAGCTATGAAGATGATATGTAGTCCGGTGAGGATCATATTGACGACTGAGCTTTCTCTGATGCTGTAACATATGATGAGTGTAATGATTAGTACGACGGCCGGAGCTATGAGGTCGATTTCATTGAATCCGTTGGGGAGAAACGGGAGAACGAATCTCCATTTTGTTGTGGGGATACTCAATGCGGCGCCCAAATAGGAGGTGAAGCCTCTGGCCACGGCGGCGTTCGACATGACGTATTCGGTTATTAAGTTGGCTCCGGTCAAGAATGCGGCGAACTCACCGAATGTGATTCGGAGGTAACTGAAGGCACCGCCGGCGACGGGCATATGGACGGCAAATTCGGTGTAGCAGAAGGCGGAGAGGAGGGCGCAGAGTCCAGCAATGGCGTAAGAGATAACGATAGCGGGGCCAGCGTAGAGACGACTAGCTCTACCGGTGGTGACAAACACACCTGCTCCGACCATACCTCCGATTCCGAGCCCCACCAAATCGAACCAACGGAGAGTCTTTTGCATGTCGGCACCGGAACGGGCCTTGACACGGCTGAGTTCTTCGTAGGTGGAAGAAACAGAGGGCGCACGGCGAGCAAAGCGGTGAAGGGTATGGGGTAAGGCGTGGAGGTAAGATTGGAGAGTAGAGAAAGATGAAGAGTGGGTTTCCATTAGAATTAGGGAAGAAGAAGAAGAAGATAATGGAGAGTTATGGGTTCATTGATGAAATTTATAAGAGAGCGAAAGAGAAAGGCAGCTAATTTCTCAGTATCTTTCCGAAAAAGGGAAAGGATTTTGGAGGAGAAGATGCGGATACAGGCACAGCTCAATCACTTATAATCACAACCCATTCGGTAATAATTAGAATGAATGACATGCTGACGGTGCAAAATAACCTCAGTTACCAAAAATATTTTATAATATACGATTTTAATTAAATTTTTTTGGATTTGTCAAAATTACTAACTAAATTGTAATGCGATCGATAATTCGTAACGCGATTTCCGGTATCGCAAATCAGTTTCCAGATTCGCAACGCAAACTTCGACTATCGCATTGCGATTTACATATTCGCATTGCGATAGTCTAAGTTCGCGTTGCGATTTATTCCAAGTTCGTTGCGATAGTCGAAGTTTGCGTTGCGATTTATTCCAAATTCGTTGCGATAGTCAAAGTTCGCATTGCGATTTATTCTAAGTTCGTTGCGATAGTCGAAGTTCGCGTTGCGATTTATTCCAAATTCGTTGCGATAGTCCAAAATTGCAACGACGGTATTGCATTTGTTTCTTAAGAATTTTATCTAAAAATATAGTATTCGCGCGGACGTGTCGAAGTTCGCATTGCGATAGTCCAAGTTCGCATTGCGATAGCCCAAGTTCGCATTACGATAGTCGAAGTTCGCGTTGCGAATCTAGAAACTGATTTGCGATACCGGAGATCGCGTTGCGAATTATCGATCGCAATGCGATTTAGTTAGTCATTTTGGCAAATCCAAAAAAAAGTTAGTTAAAATCGTATATTAAAAGGTATTTTTGGTCAATGAGGTTATTTTTTCTATATATTATTTCTGATTTTTAAATTATTTGAATTTAAATTTGTTTCAAGATTCAAATTTATTTTTATTTATAAATTATTTAAATATTATAACTTAAATTTAATATAAATAAATTTATTAATTTTTTACTAATATAAGATAAAGACAAGATAATATATGTTCAAAGATATAACTCTCAATTATTTGATATTAAACACTCACATCTTTACATTCGTAATGCTTAAACTTAAGGATCTTAAAGAATAACAATAATTAATTTACCATTGAAATCTTTTAATTCATGCATTATTTATTAAATATTTGAACCTATAAAAGTATAGAGTTAAAAAATTAAATCATATATAAAATATATAAATCAATATAAATTTGAATATATTAAAAATAATAATTCAATATTTGAATCAATATAAATAATAATTAAATAATTAAAATAGAGAAAAAAATTAACGATGTAGTTTACAGATATAAAAAATGAAATGTGTTTACCAACAATCAGTTGGTATAATGGGATCGAACATTAGATTCCTTAAGCAATGTCAGAGGTTTAAATTTTGACGTTTTCGAATAGAGCAAACTAAGTTGGGAATATCACCTTTATCTTTGTAATACTCAATCTGAATTAATCTGCAAATAGATCAGATACCAATAATTAATTAAAAAAAATGAAAGTTTTATATTTTCGGTTGCAGCTTCTACAAGTATTTCTCACTAATTCCAGCAATTTTTACGCTCTGTTATAAACCATGGATGATGGACTTCCATGTAATCCGACGTGAGGTACTTTAAATATAAATTTTTGCTAAATTAAAAATTATAACGAAAATAATTTTATAAGCTTTTATATAAATATTTTAAATTTTATATTGAAAGTTTAACTTGATAAATAGAAAATATATCACAATAAATTTTTCATAAAATATACATGCAAATAATGTTATATTCTTCTAATTAAACATTATAATCTTATATTACTTCTAAACACATAATATAAGATTATAATCTTATATTATGCAAACTTATACAAATTTAAAAATTAAAAAAATATTTGTAAAATTTATGTATGAAAGCTCATTTTTAAAAAAGAATAAAGAAAAAAATATTACGCGTCTCGTATTTGAGTTAACTCATTTACAAATATAGACAATACTCGAATGCTTGGACAGGGAAATTAAATCCGTTATAGACAGCACGCATTTTTACAGAACAAATTTAAGGTCTCCCTCTTCCTTCTTTGCTTTACTTTCCTCACAACCAACAGATCTTATTGCAATTCAAAGAGATAAACAAATAACTTCAGAAACAGAACCACCATCACACATTCAAGAAACGATATGCGAAACGGCCTACATACCTGAGAAACAATCCCACAAGTCGATTCTCAAAAGCAGCGGGATTAAAATTATCGTTTAGGTTCGCTTAAGTTCTTGCCCTCGAAGAATTCTCCCAGCATTCGTTCGAGATCCTCTGCTGTGTACTTGACGTACTTCTGAGGATTCTTCCCATTCTCAACTAGAGGTCTACAGGAAATCAAGAACTCAGAAATAAGAACATGTTCAAATCGGGGATGGTACGGATTTCTCGAAAGATAAGTAAAAACATCTACTTTGATTTATGGGAAAATTATCTTCATCTTGAATATATATATAATAACGGTCAGAAGATACATGGTTGAGAAGTTGTCAGCTTTTTTTCAAAAAAAAAATCAAAGGATTAGAACTTATTTGACACAGTAAAACAAAAGGACTTAAGAAAGTTCAGGGGCTCTCTAGTATTTTTGTATTACTAGAAATCAATAATAGGTTTATAAGTAAGGCGAAAAAACGTACCCGAAGCGTTTCAGGAATGATCTATAGGCAGGTAACAACACTTCAGCAACTGCAAGCCTCAGGGACTCTCTCAATTCCGTGTCAGGCACCGTCCATTGAGATTGTCTTTGATGAAGCTCCTCAAATTGCATATTGAAAATCTTGAACCTGATCCAAACAGCTTGCGCATCAAGATCAGAGGTATAGAGAAAATAAACTAGAAGGATTCTGATATAAAATTTTTGAGGAATTAAATGAAAATCCAAACGGAGTCAACAGGCCGATTGAAATTGACCTGTCTTTAACCAATGCTCTGGATACTCCACTGCTATTGCCTCCATCACCTACTGCACTACCACCTCCGGATGAGGTCATTCCTTGTATAGATAGGCACTGAAGGATCTACAGTAGAAAAGACAATGAGAAAAAAGATGGTTAATTTTTCGAACAACAGAAAATGACTCATCTGAAAGCATTGTACAACTGCAAGCTATTTCCAAATGAATACAAGGCAGTAGGCATGTTAGAAATGAAGAAAATCATCTCTTCGGAATTACCAAATGTTGTTTAGTCCAAAACTAATGTACCCATGGAAATTTATCGAATCGGCCAACTTTTCCAAATGTATACAACAGTTCAAAACTAGTAGCTTATCATCAAAGTCTATTGCATAAATGAGTGATTTATTTTTTGAATATATTAGTAAAAAACAGCAAAGAAAAGAACAACGCCAAATTTGTCTTGTTCTGCCTTATGTCAATTAGGTAATCAGAAAATACTTTTTGCCAAGCATTCCTTTTGTATTGGTTTGCATGCTGCTGCACAATCCTCCTGTGTCTTTGGACCCAATCATCCCCTAACAGGTCTTTGGCTTCGGACCTAAACAAGAAATTAGAAAGTATGAATACATGTAAGATGAAAGCAACCTTTACAGGAGAATTCAGATTTAAGACATACCTGCGCACAGATCTCACCATATAATGAATATTATTCATGAGAAATAAGTGAGTCAAAGAAGGATCTTTATACTGCTTTGATTTTCCATCCAAATTTGTTTGAAGAGCCTGCATTATTCTCATTGTTACAGAAGCTAACTGAGATCCAGTATCATCACCAGTTTCAAATTCCTGGAAGAGTTGCTTCAATGTTGATTGGTAGCTGCAGGAATTTAACACATGATTGTCAGTTCAACAGCATGAATATATCAATAGCTGATGGAATCATGCAGCAAAAATAAATAAATATCCAGCAACTCAAGTTTCTTAAAATTGGACAGGTAAATTGGCTTCAAGATCAAGACAAGGCAAAATAACATATGATCATATCATGATTTTATTATGAAAACTGTAGGATAGTCAATCCTGCGGACATATGCCCAATCTCCCATTTGTTAAAATGAAACCAAGTATAAATGAGTCCTAATGATCACAGGTCATACATAATAAACTGTAAAAGAAACATGCAATTAGCATGCATTATCACGACCCAAATAGAGAGCAATAAACTTGAAATTACAGAAAGCAGAACTTACTCGAATAAAAATTTTACATAATTAATCACATAGCTGGTTAAAGGATGTACAGTTCCATCCAAAACAGAAGTTTTTGTTGCATCTTTTTCAACTGCTTCTTCAAAATCACCAAAGGTCTCCTGAGCTGTCTGGGCAAGTCGCTTTGTTAAGCCCAATGCAGATTCTCTAATCTCAGTACACGATTTACCTTGGAAAATGGTTTCAATCTGCAAAAGAAACCATCTGTTAAGTTAATGGGAAGTACCTAGTACCATTTGAATATGCCCCATCTTTACAGCAGGGAAGTGATTGCTACAGATTAAACTTGATCATCTTTTTTCCACTAGATTATCAACCAAGATGGAAGACTAGATCAAATAGAATATATCATAGATTTTGAGGATATTACCTAGTATTGTTGCAAACCTTAAATGCCCAATCCATGAGATATATGAAATTATGAAGAGACTATAGCAGACTTATGAAACAAATTACTTCACAACCTTAATATCTATTTTCAAAAGACAAAAGTACGACTAGAAAGGTATGCATTTGGTACATGAAGTTGATAAATTCTAACATCGATAAAATGAAATTTTCAATAGATTCACGTCAATTTGGACATCAGTTTCAGTTTAATTAACTTTAACTGGAAGTAACAATCTTCATATAGTGCTAAAAACAAGCACTTATCTATTCATGTTGACAGTCTTGTGGGTGACAACCTTGGCGGATGTGCATCATTCCCCCTCTAAGTTTCGTTTGCCTAAATTTAAGTGGTCTCCTCCTCCTTCGGGTTATTTT